AGCTCGCAAGAAGGGTTGGGGAGAGGACGAGTTGAAAAACTTAACGTTCATCAGCTATGAAGCTGCTAAAATCTTTGCTCGACTTCGACCAGCTCGCAAGAAGGGTTGGGGAGAAGACGAGTTGAAAAACTTAACGTTCATCATCTATGAAGCTGATAAAATCTTTGCTCGACTTCGACCAGCTCGCAAGAATGGTTGGGGAGAGGAGATACACGGGAAATAGCGACAAGACAATTTGAAATACAATTCGAAAAGAAAAGAATTATATTGATCACGATAGATTCATTACATCCGAAGTCGTCTCAGCCTTTACACGAGCTGAAAATAGGCCGAGAACGACAGAACAAAAAACAAAAACAAAAACAGTGGCACGGCCCGAAAATAGACAAACACAACTAAGAGTCGCCAGTCGACTTCTCAGCCATGTCATCTCCACCTTCCATCCCGACAGACTCAGTTTTATTATCAGCATCTTTTTCGACATCTTCCTCGGCAAGCGGCTCTGTCCCCTGCTCCTCGCCTCCCTCCACCTCCACGACTTCTTCCGCACGACTAACCCCCTCTAGCCTGACTAATTCGGTCGAACCGACCAGAGGTGCGGAGGGAACCTCGAGTTGCGAGTCTAGGCCAGCCTTGCTAATGGCCCAGGCCTCGATTCCCGTCCACCACGGGTAGTCATCGTGAAGGGACGAGTCGCCCTCATAGCCTTCGGGGTCAGGGAGCGTCTCTTTAACCACCTCGCGGTCGAGCTTTCTAGCAAAGTCGGACCCCTCTACCACCGCCGCCTATGCGTCAAAAGCAAAGTCGAAATGCTGGGCGACGGCAGGGCAAAGCTTGTCGAGGAAGGCAGGGGAATTGCAGAAGGCTTTTACGACCTCTTGGCGATAGGTCTCGAGAAAGATGGCGCCCATAGGGGACTTCAAGAAGGTTCTGCGCCCCTCCTCGATGCCATTCTCTCTCTCGACCATGCACTCATCACGAGCCTTGTCGAGGTCGGCCTTTAGCTTGTCGTTCAGATGCTGAAACACAGCTTTGTCGGCCTTTAGCTTGTCGACCAGGGCCTTGGAAGCCTCCAGATCCTCTTTCAGCGCCTCGATTTCCTGGCGCTGAGCTTCGCATTTGTCCTCGAGGGACTTAGAAGGGGCAAGAGGAGCCTTGCTCGTCTACTCGAAGCAGGGGAGCACTGCGGCCAGGAACTGCACAAAAATAAATAAAAATAAAAAATAAAAACATTAGAAACAGATAAGAAAAAGATGAATCAAGTTTAAAAGAAAAAACACAAAAATCGAGTCGATTGAGGGATAGAAAAGATACCCGGGAGAGGCACTGAACAGCGTAGTTCGAGCGCTCGTATAGGTTCCCGTCGACACGCTCCTTGTCGTCCTCCGGGATGAGGGAGTTGAGGTACTTGGCCACATGGTACGGCTACGGGTGATTCCAGAGCCGAGAGGGCATCTTGACCGTCACGTCCTTGACGGTGATAGGGGAAGGGGCTTTCTTCCCGACCGCCTTTCCCTTCCCCTTGTCGACCTTGCGACGCTTAAGGTCGTCGGGAATAAGGATGGCGGCCCGATCGTCCTGGGCCCTCTTGCTAGAGGAGGAGCCTGACGACTTGTGTTGGGAAGCACCAGGATTCTCGACCCTGGATTGTCCGGCAGCTGTCGTCCCGGCAGCCGCAGCAACGGGCCTCGGCCCGGATCCGCCTGAGGGTCGAAGGGGAGGAGCAGAACCGCCAGCAGGTTGGCCAGACGATTGGCCCCTCTTGAGCTCGAAGCGTTTGAGCGCTTTAACTGAAATAATAGAAGAAGAAAAATTAGCGTGTGAAGAAAATTTAGCAGTCATGATGCGAATAATCGAAACTTATAAACAGTTGCACAGGAAGGAACAATAACAGCTTACGAGGGTCATCGAGGCGAGGAAGATCCTCGTAAATGACGATTCGGGCGTGATTGACCAATTCACGGTCCTTTATCAACTGACGAGCACTATACGTATGCTTATTAAGCTCCGTCAAGAGAATAGCGAACTCGTCAGAACGAGGCCGTTTATTTTGTTTCACCTTCGAGGTTATCCATTTATTTACATAAGGATACATGCCAGACGCAGGTCGAATGAAAACGAACTTCGATTTCCACTCGGTGACATTCGACGAGAGATCGTCAAGAAAGGTAACACCAGCACGACGACCCAGGCAATGAGCGCCTTTGGAGAGTCGCTAACAGTAGCAATAGAAGAAAAACTCGGGCGAGAAGAATTTGAGTATTATTCGGGAGACGACTACAAAGGCTATCATAATACGGATAGCATTTGGAGAAAATTGGTTTATTGGGATATTATACAGGTTACTTATCAACAGAAGCTCATCTTGGATAGGGAAGCGAAGACCGAAGACGATTTGGTCTACAAAAAACGTATGACAGCCGGGAGGAGGGTGAGCGAAGTCGTCATTGGGACCTGGGGCGACTAACTCCCAGTCGGAAGGAAGCCCGCTAAACTTCCTGAAGCCCTCGACCTCGGCTGCAGAGGCATAACAAAAAGGATTTAAAACAGCTAACCTAGCTAAGGGATAAGCTATTGATACAGTATTTTGAGAATTAAGAAGTGGAACAATTATTGGTACAGATACAGGGCTTGTTCTATAAACAAGGATGTCTAATAGCCTAAGAGGAATACCTCGAGGAATAAGATCGAGACGAGGAGGATTTCCCCGAGAAGGGCTCTTAACGATGTCGACTAAGCCGCCTTCCAAAAGTGCTTGGTCATACTGCTCCCAGTCGGCGGAGGAAGCAGTGACGAGAAGGAGAGAAGGATCGGAAGGCTGCGAAATCATCTTATAGCCGGTCACCTCGACGGAGTCAGAACTAGAGCCCTCGTCGACTAGATGGGTATAGTCGTTGATCTGCTGACCGAGGGAGCCGGATAGAGGGGACGAGTCAGAAGCTAAGGCAAGAAAAAGAAGGAGAAGGTCGAAGTTAGTAAAATCACGAGTTAAAACCCACGTGAACGAGTCAAATCGACTCACATGAATCGACAGTAGATAAAAGAATAGAGAAGGGGAAACTGCTATCGATAGCTCGATCCAAATAAATCAGTAAGTCAATCCTAGTCGATTCGACAGAGGAATACTAAGGAAAGAAGAACACTAAGCCGACAAAAGCCAACTCAGTGACAGGAGAAAATCGACTGCATATCGGCAGCTGACGACTGGTAAAAACAATAAATCCTAGCAGAGAACACCCGTAAAGAGATCTAAGCGCGAAACCCATAAGAAGTTCATAAGGAATATGAAGAACACATATGAACTTCTAAAGCTCTGGAAACCCAGAAAGAATCAGAGAAAGGAAAAATCGACAGAAGAATTGAAAATTGAGAGGAGATAGTGAACTTACACATGATGGCGTAGTTGGCTTGAACTGCGAATAAGCCTGAAGTTGCCGAAAAAGAGGAGCGTCGGTGAAGCCGAAGAGCAAAGATCGCCGGAGATGCTTGAGGGAGTTTGAGAAAGTAAGAAAGTTCGGAAATGCGAAAAGTGATTTTCTGAGAGATGGAAGTATATTTATATAAGATAAGGATGGGTGTGAACCGTCGGATCATCAAGATAACCAATGACCCTGATGAGGCGCGGAATTCGAAGAGGCGGCGAGGGAGATGACGCGCGTCACTTTAGGGTTTCGAAATTTGAAATTTGAAATAGGTCTGTCAGAGTGTCAGACTTATCCAAAAGAGCAATCATGAGATTGAGATGCGCACTAATCGATTGGCGAGATGAGTTGTAGAAGAAGCCAGTACGAGCAAGAATGGTAGGAAGGCGACACAGTTATACTTCACCAAACTTACTCTTAAGCAGTCGACTGCTTAGAGTATTGTTTGGGGGGGACTAGATGATATAGCCACATAAGGATAACCCGGTCCAGAAATTCCCTACTCGACCGGTGAACCACTCGAACAGCTCTCATGTCGACATGACTCTGTCAACATTCTCGCATCGACTTCCCTAAAGTCGATTCTACCAAGAGCAACCGAGAAGAAGCAGAAATTGGTCTAGTCGACTTCCCTAAAGTCGACCTTAGTCTATCGACTTTCACTAGTCGACATCAATTGGAGAAGAACATCAAGAGCGTAACTCCCAAGCATCCAGATACCCTAGGTCGACTTTGTCTAGTCGACTCAAAGATGACGACTTTGAAGACGACTTCACCGCAGAGAGTTAAACCAAGCGTAGCCTTCGAAGCCGCACATATTCATAAGTTGACCTCTTATCCCTCGAGGTCGACTCTATACATCTCGAGGATCAAAGCAGTAAGGACGATTCACCACACTTATAACATATCCGAAACCCTATACGGTACAAAGGATAAGAAGGAATCTTGAGATGACTAAGCAGCAAGGGGAGACGAATCGACCAGGGCATTTTGGACCTTCTAGGTCCACCGACTTGGGCATTCTGGGTACTTCAGGTAAATATTCACTCCTATATAAAGGAGGTGAGGTAACCCTAAACCCTAACTCTCATTCACTCCCACTCTCCCCCATAGCTGTTGCGCAGCCTCTCTTCATCACTCTCATACTGACTTGAGCGTCGGAGGCTCTACGCCGGAAACACCTCCGGCGTTGAGTTTTTGCAGGTATCTCGCGGTCTAGCAACGATCCGAAGGCGGTTCAATCAGATCTGAGCTCACATCCACCGATTTACTCCAGAATCTGGAAGTAGACCCATCAACATAGTATTCTTGTTTGTACGTAGAAAAGCATGCCTTTGATCCTAATTCCATTGTCAATATGTTGCTAATTGAAAGTTATTAGAGTTGTTAAAAAAACCATCGAAATATTCGTCATATGCAGTAAATGCATAGTAGTAAAGATGGAGGGGCAGAATTAAACGTTCATTTGGGATTTTCACGTAATGATGCATAATATTTTACATAGTTCGATAAAAATATTAGACTACTGAACTTTGCATAAGAGAGTAGAAAATGACATTTATATGCGGATTAATGAAGCACTTGACATCTCTGGATTCCCATTGTCTCTACACCCCTGCCCTCGCCTCTGGAAAGTCTTCAAGGGTTCACGCAAATGCACTTGAGTTCTGCATCATCTCCACCTCCAATGGTGAGAACCTATTTCATAAGATTTAACCAAACGTGTTCTGTTACCAATTTTTTTGAATTCGACAAACATTTTAAGCATTAATATCTTATGGAAAAACAAATTTATTTATTAACCTTTACAAACGGAGCCAAGTCTGAAGGTAAAATGAGTATATCTGGAAAACTAAGGCACCCTTTAGTTTTGGTCGAGCATCCTTTTCGTCCTCTCCTTTTAGTCGAGCGTCTTTGAACCTCTCCCGCAGGTCGAGATTTTGAAACCTCATTGCTATCGCTTACATGAATCTATTTGCTCATAGATCTTGTTTGTGGTCAACGAAGGGAATGTTCAGCGAGTATGCCTACAATCATCAACGTAGGAGAGGAGAGGCGACCTTTAGAAGAGAATCTGAGTGCTTTCTCCGCGAAAGAAAAATCTAAAGGAACTCCTTTTGCAGGTGGATACAGTGGGTAGAAGCTGGAATAGTGACAAAAGTTAGAGAGAGAAGAACATAATACATGAAAACAAATCCTTCTTTTGTTGGTATTATCTAATGTACCTTTGCTGGCTCAATAATGCTTTGCTAGATTAGCCAGTCGCTGCTTAGATTCTCCTGGTGGATTCCGAAAACTTTCCTCTGCACTGCCGAAATGAAACTAATCTGAAACGAGTTGAGAAAATGTAGTTGGTCAAGGATTCCTTAGTTTCTTGCATTACAATGGGTGAACATAAAGCAATCAGCAAAATGAAATACATTCTAACCAGCGAGTACGCCGCCCAGCTGGACACAAGATCTGAAGCACTGAGCTTGTACTGTTTGCAAAATGCCTGACCTGATATTCAGAAATTCGCAGAGGAGAAGCGGCGTTAGAAATTTGGGGACCGTTTCCAATCACCAAAAGGCGGAAATTACACGAAATAACTCACATTGCGAGATAATTTTCTCCGCGGGAATGAATTAAAGACATTGTGTGGGCTTTTTTTTTATTATTATTTTTTTCTTGTTTTACATTTTGACTATACCATTTTATTATTTCTTTATTCAATAATACTATTTGTACCATCTAGTTTACCACTTGTCTTACCATATAATGTAACTTACATTTTTCCCCTCCACTTAAATTGGCAATAACTAATCAATAATGCTATTTGTACCATCTAGTTCACCACTTATCATACCATATAATGTAACTTACAGTTTTTCCCTCCACTTAAATTGGCAATGACTAATTGAACTAACTTTTGCCTTGCACTGAATTATATTTTGCCATATACTCACCTTTCATAAAGCATTATATATATAATAATAATAATAAAAATATTTTAGAAAAAACATGAGTGAACCACCAAGAATTTCAGAACAAATAGGGACACTTATAGAGATAATAAAGAAAACCCAATTAGAAACATTAGAAATATTAGACGAAATAAAAAAATCAATAAAAGAATTACAAGATTCAGTGCAAAAAGAAAAAAATACGGAAAAAATTATTTAAACCAATTCAAATAGAACCGCCAACAAGTTCTAATGGATGACATAGATAGATTAACTCAGTTATTAAAAAAATGTAATATTGAAGAAACTAGAATGACAAAAATAGATGATGAGGATAAACAATGAATAATCTGTGGAATAGATAGTGAAGATGAAGATGAATCAACATTTAATATGATTGATCAAAAACCTCATACAACACCACCATTAACACCAAAACGACCAAGAACAAATAATAATGAAGCATCTAGTTCACAAAATAATTACGTAGAAAGTAGTTTTAGAGATTTTATATATAGAAATGATTATAGTTATCATCAAGAAAAAATAAAGAAAAATATTCCACCAGCATATTTAGAAAAAGAAAGAAATTTATCTAATGGAATATTAAATATAGATTGTGCAACCTATGCAGAAGATCTAATAGTCACTTGGACAAATCAATTAAAATTAATAGTTCAAACTAATGATTCAATGATAAATGGAATGACATTAACCGATTTTGCTAATTATATAAGATACAAAATATCTGGAGTAGTATTTGATTATCTAGAAAATACTCAAGTTTTATTAAATCTTGAAGCTAGTGGTTTAGAAACAGGAGCAGAATATAAAATAGCAGCTTTAAGAGAATTAGCAAAAAATTTATTAAGAAATTTTTTGGGAATTTCAGGGGAAGAATCAAAAGAAACACAAAAAGATAAGATAGTTAGATTTCTAACAAATATGAACTTATGTAATGTATGCTACATAGAAATTTTTTTCTGCCAAGTACGAGAAAATTTCTATAAAATTAAGGATCGATCAGGACTAATAGAAATAGTTGAAAGTATACTTAAATATGAGATGAATAAATATATTCAGAAGAAAATTAGTGAAACAAAAGAAGAAAAAACTCTAGGAATTTTAAAATAATATGCAAAAGAGAATATAGAGATGAACTTTGTATAAGGAAATTAGAACACCATGAAATGACTAAGGTCGATTCAAGATGTTGCAAACAATTAAAAGTGTACCACAAGAATTTAGTTGTTATAACCCATACAAAAAGAAAAGATATTATAAATGCAATAAGTTTAATAGACGATATAGACCAAGAAGATATAAGACATTTAGAAAACCCTGAAAAACAAAATATAAAGGAAAGTTTAGAAAACAAGGAAAATACTTAGGAAAACCTAAATATTGTCCTAAAGGAAAAAAGAATTGTAGATGTTGGAAATGTCAAGAAATAGGACACTATGCAAATGAATGTCCTAAAAACATGCCAGAAAAAGAAAAGAAGCTAAAAATGATATTTTCTTTAGGTTATGAACCTATAGAAGAAGAATACAAAGAAGGCGAACTATTAGACTTTGATATATATGATTTAGAATCCGAAACAGATAATGATTTAGAAACATCTGAATCAGAAGATGAGTAAAAATAGTTCATTTATAAAAGTTAAATTATTTAACAAATTTCTACTAGCATATATAGACATAGGAGTAACGATATGTCTAGCAAAAGAATCTATATTACCCAGTAAATATTGAAAGAAATTAGATAAACCAATTATAGTAAGAGTTGCAAATAATAAAACAATAAGTATTGATTATAGAGCAACAGACTTAATATTGTTAATAAAAGAAAAACGATTTCCTTTACCATGTCTTTATAAACAAAATACAGGATTACCATTAATAACTGGAAATAAATTTCTTAAGTTATACAGTCCATTTATTCAAAGATTAAATAGTATAAGTCTTCGATGTCCACAACTAGATACAGAGTCTAGTAAAATAATTACTACAAAAATATATAATACATCTTCCTTCATAATGGGGGAGATATTAAGAAAAGTTTCATTTCAAATTTACAAAGAAATAAGTATAACTTTAGAAGAACATGTTAATCAACTATTAGAAAACATATGTAGTCAAAATCCATTGGATCGAAATAAAAACACAAATAACATGATAGTAAAAATAGAACTTGTAGATTCTAGCAAAGAAGCCAATGTGTCAAATAGGATACAATATACAGAAAGAGATGTTAAAGAATTTCATGAAGAAACTACTAAGATGTTAGAAAATGGTATTATACAACCTAGTACAAGTCCACATAGTGCACCAGCATTCTATGTAGAAAATCATAATGAATTAAAAGGAGAAAAACGAAGAATGGTTATAAATTACAAAGGAATGAATAAAGCTACTAAAGGAGATGCATATAAGTTACCAAGACAAGATTATATTTTTAGTCGAATTAAAAAGGCAAAATGGTTTAGTACATTAGATGCTAAATCAGGATATTGGCAGTTAAGGTTACATGAAACAAAACTAAACCTTTAACAGCATTTAGTTGTCCACCTCAAAACCACTATGAATATAATGTAATGCCATTTGGACTTAAACAAGCACCTAGCATATATCAACGATTTATGAATAATAATCGTAAGAGATTAGAATCAATAAGCCTTGCTTATATACACGATATAATTATTTTTACTCAAGGATCAAAAGAAGATCATTTAAAATAACTTGCAAAGGTTTTAACAGAGTTAGGAAATAAAGGAATTATTTTAAGTAAAGAAAAAGCAAGAATTTGCAAAACCGAAACAGAATTTTGGGGAATGAAAATAGTCGAGAGAGGATATATCGATCCTCAAAAACATCTACTTGAAAAAATACATCAGTTTCCAGATCAGCTTCAAAAAAGAAATCAAATTCAAAAATTTTTTGGATGTTTAACATATATTGGAGAAAAAAGTTTTATAAAAAGTCTTGCAAAAGAAAGAGAATTACTACAAAAAATGATTTTAGAAAAAGTACCATGGAAATGGACAGACAATGCAACTAGAGCAGTACAGTCCTTAAAAAGACTGTGTACTCAATTACCACTGCTTTACCTACCAAAGCTTAGTGATTTACTTTTTTTAAACACTGATGCAAGTCAGGATACTTGGGGAGCAGTTCTTCAAGCAATCCCAGATGCATATGAAGAGTTTAGGAAGTTTATTGCAAACAACAAACCATCTGAAGTTAAATCCTTTATACGAAGGATGACTAAAGATAGTTTGGATGAAAATAGTGAATCTAATGATTCTATGCAATTAGTATTGGGTAAAACCAATAGCAAGCAATTACTGTTATCCAAATGTGCATCGGGAACGTTTAAGCAAGCAGAACGCAACTATACAACACATGAAAAAGAAACATTAGCTTTTATAAATGCTTTGAAAAAATTTAAACTTGACTTACAACCAGTTAAATTCATTTTTCAAACGGATAGTTTGTATACAAAAGATTTTACAAAATATCAAATAAAAGAATCTTACAACAAAGGCAGACTTTTAAGATGGAATTTAAAAGCACAACAGTTTGATTATATATCTGTATATATTTCAGGAAAAGAAAACTACTTAGCAAATACATTAACACGAGAATGGAAGCACTCAATCCAGTCTTAGAAGATAGTCTAAGAATGCTGGAAAAGCAGGTAGAAGAGCTCTTTGAGCAAATAAAGAAAAAAAAAAAAGAAATCAGCCAGATAAAAGCCATATTGTTCTCAGAAAAAGGCAAAGAAGAAAAGAAAAATGAAAAGGCTGAAACATCAAAAGAAAAAGAAATAAATGGGGAAGAAAAGGAAAAACCTCATTATGATAAGGAAGAAAGAACAAAAACCCATTATGTAATGTTTACAGGTCCTAATCAAGGGATATTTTTCCAATGGATTCAAGCAGCCATGTTCATAACAGGACAGAATGTTATACATAAAAAAATTTCTCGTCTATTCGAAGCAAAAGAAGCGTTAGCTCAGTTCAAGGCAAGCTATGCAGGAAAGGCACAGTCACAGGCTACAGCAGCACAGAAGCAAATGCCTATATTAGGCATGGTTCCAAGTATCAGACCACTCACGATCGGAAGCATACAGACTAAATGACAAAAAGCAGTAAGCAGAAATGACCAAGCTGACTAAAAATATTTTTGACCACGAATTTAAGTTTGTGGTTAATTATACAGATGAAGATAAGAAGACAAGCATTTACCCAACTGATGGTCTATATCTTGGACCAAAAGCAATTGCTCTACCAGAAGCAGATCCGATGAAAGTATAAATGATGTTCCAATCAGGATTACTAAGTTGTATTTATTTCAGAGAGGCAAATATGTTCCAATACTTCCCAATTAACATCAGAAAGCAGTTTCTCAATACTGTAAGCACGTACTCGGGAAAAAAGAAGGATTCTTGAAGATATTTGCAACAACACCAATTTTCGGAGAGGGGGAGAACTCGCAGGAAGTACTACAACCAGCAATCTAGTTTTGCCAAATTGGAATAAACAATGGTAACTA